GTATTGCTTTACTTTCCTTGAGCAGTGTGATAATCTGTTTGAGCAGATTGAGCAGATTGTCTGGGTTCCAAACCTGTTCTCTGGCTTGAAGTTGCCCTCTGAACTTCTGTACTTTGTTCCATACAATGTGTATTGTTTCCTAATCTCAGTAGTGTCTTACTATCCTTGTGTTACATAGATTATAACTGTTTTACATCCTGTAGATTGTAATTGTCATCCTGTAGCTTGAATAACACGATTCTTACTATGTATCCTAAGTATATGTACACTAGTGCATCCATTTGAGTGCCTGTAATGTCCATAATACGTCTGATAAAGTATCCTGAGTCTATTCCAATGAATCCTGACTGTCTGAAGGTGTATTTTGTAATGTAATACCTTATGTTCTCCTGAAACTGTGTTCTGTACAATATATCCTTGTAGTCTGAGCTGGTTTTAATGTTTCTGAACAATTCTTCATCATGAACTGAATAGTTTTGTAGTGTAACATCCAATTGTACCTTATAGAACAATGTTCTATGCAAATTACTTTGATTGTGCTCATTACTGACCGTTTCTTCAATCCTGAAGATGGAAATGTCTGTTCCAATGTCAACTAACATAGTTCCTTTGTAGTACTCGATACTAATCCTGTATCTCTTCCTGTACTGAATAGAATCGACTGTGTATACATATGTCTGTGTCTTTCTATCACTGTTGATGTATCTCCATGTCTGATGCTTATTCTGAAGTAGTATCATTGTATTCCTAATGTATATGCACTTTTCCTTGCTCAATAGTTCAATCTACTCTAGGAATGAGTAGTTACAATTGGTTTGAAGTACAAAAACACACAGAAGACCTCTCCAAACACTACAGATATGTTCTAGGATAGTACCAGACGTTTTACACTGAAAATAAAGTCATATTTTGATGAGAGGGCAAGAGGCACACACATTACATTGTATACACACTCTTTGAGCATACAATTATGTTTGAACATACAATTTTCTTACTTGGATTGCTACAAAACGATTTTACAAAGGACTTTACAGGACCAGACAGTATCAGTACTATAGGAAACAGGACACATAATAGGTACATGAGGAAAGAATACATTAGAACAAGGACAAGGACACAGAAAGACAGGAAGTCAGTGTTAGAGCACATTGATCCACACATGGATTTACCAAATGAACAGAGAATTGGCAGCATACACTCAGGACTTCAGGCAGCACTACTGTGTATACAGACAGGACATTTTATTGAGACATACATGGAACAATACAGTATACAGACAGTTATGGCACTCAGGAAAGTAGAGAATGCTACTTAGACATTTTGTGATAGAACATTACACTATGAGACATTGAAAGTATACTTGAACAATTCAGGAATCGAATCAGTCAACTTACAAAGACACAAACAAGTTGAGACACAAGGAAACAGTATGAGAATACAGTAGGACATTCATCACACACAGAGATACTACACATATACACACATATCTAGTAATATTAGACTCATACATTACAATCTCATTGAATTCAAGACAATATTTTCATTCAAGGATGAATATTACACTCTAGGTTGTACTCTACAATTAGTATTTGGACATTGAGCTCAACAGGATATCCAGTTTTGTGTCACAGTTGGTTATTGTATACAAAAGAGTACACATTTGGAGACATTCTACCAATATGAGCACAAGGCATTACATTTGTAGGAACTAGTCTATTGGAAAAATCAAGGACATAACAGAGGAATTTTGGAATACATCTCTACTACCTATTATTGTATGACTATCCTACAGAAGCAGAGAAATGTGCAAGGTCAGCTAGAAGCCACAATACTAATCCATTCTATTGAGGAAGAAGGCTATAGCTTTGTTGATTAGGGATTTACCTCCACACTTCCCAAAGATGCAGGAGAAGAGAATATTTGCAATTACCACACTGTCAGAATTTCCACTTCTGTACATATTGATCTACACTATGTGTTTCAGAGTACCCAAGAGCTAAAACACTATATCTCCCTAGGAACTCTACTGATTCCCTTCAAAAAGTGTTGTATTAATAGTAACAATCAAGAGGCAACTTTTCTACCAATTGACTATACAGTAATATTGACTATGTTTAATTCTATTAATGTTTTATCTAGTTTCACATAGTTTAGAACCATGCTACTCACTGTCCAGAACACTACCACTGTCTCAATACACACTAGATTGACTTTGGATCAGTTCAGAGAGGCAGTACTACATTGTAAGGATGTTTCCCATACACATGGGTAAGGTATTTTATTATTTACTTGTTACTAACTGTTACTTTTAAGTAAGTTCTCTACCTTTTCTACTGATTTTTAGTATTTAGGACTAAATGCTAGAGGGCAAGTGTAAGGATTTGATTTACTAGTTCATATTTTATTATCACTACATTGCTGATTGTGTCAGATCATTGTACAGTAGGACCTACAAGCACATATATTCTCATTATAGTTAGTTACACTTCCTCCTCATGTATCTACATGTGTACTACCCTATAAAAGACAGTATCAATTGCTAGGTAAAGGGGATTCTTTTCCCCTGACCCCTTGCTCAAGTACTAGGTTATCCTAGTCAGTAGTTGAGTGAACTAAGGGCAATTAGAATTCTCTTGTAAGGAACAGTGAGTTTCCTTACACCTATTAAGGAGTATTGTTAGTTATTGTGTACAAATTCTGTCAGAGCTAACTATTCAGACCAATCTGACTACTAATAATTAATAAACATTCAGAGGTATAGTTTAATCTTCTAATTAACTTGTTTAGTTTAACTATTAGTTTGTAAGTAATATATAGTAGAAGGGTTCTCTTAAATTCTAAGAAGAGTGTATAAGTTCTGTATGAATTTTGACTCAAATTACAGTCTGTAATTGTGAATAAGCTTCTGAGAGAGTCTGTACAATTAGAAAACATAGTTCTAATAAATGTATACTATACTTTTAGAAATGAGTTCTGTTCAGGTTAGAACTGTGTAAACTTACTTAGAGAATTAGTTAACAATTATACAAATAGTATTATAACCCTAAGACTTAGATAGCTTACTAATCAGGTCTACTAAGACTTCTTCCTAAAAGTAATCTAGAATCTAATATAAATGTAGAAGAGTCTAAACCCTTGTCTAGTAGACTTTAGTCTGTTAGTACATATTATAACTAGTTATATACTTTAGAATTTCCCTCTACATTCCTAACTACTAGTAGTTCTGAGTAATAAGTTCCTGTGTCTTGTGTCAGCCTAAATGTTTTACAGTTAGATTGTTGTAATAAACTTAGACAATATTCTTTTACAGCTTCTAATCCTTTAAAACATATAGTCAGTCTTTCTAGTAAACTTATCTATCCTTATCCTCCTTCTAGTCTCTAGTCTACTTCTCTAACTACTTTACTACAACCTGGTCCTGTGTGTGTTTTAGAGCTTATTATATATAAGTGACAAAGTTAACATTCTTAGATTTGAGTCAGATCTCTTAAACTGTCTTAAACATGAAATAGAAATTGTTTAAGAGAATAAGATTTTTGTTATTATTCTCTCCCCTTTTATAACCTACTTGTCTTAAGAGTAAATCAGTTTTTGTCATTTACTTTCTAAGTTTGTAAGTTAGTACAAAGTTGTAGTCTTATAGTTCTAACATCTAGCAGGCCTAGTAGTAGTTAAACTTCTAAAGTGTCTGAAAGTATTAGAGATTAAGGTAATTACTCTAAATCTTAAACTTTTACACAGTACTAAAAAGATATTAATACTACTCCTCTAGAGAACAGACAATTATAAAGAGTTCCTTATTATAAATAGAGTAGTTCTGTTCTATTATAAAGAGGGATTCTAATTAGAACACTATTAGTGTAAGGATTTGATTTACTGGTTTGTATTTTATTACTACTACATTGCTGATTGTGTCAGATCATTACACAGTAGGACCCACAAGTGTATATATTCTCATTGTAGTTAGTTACACTTCCTCCTCATGTATCTACACGTGTATACCCCTATAAAAGACAGTATTGACTGTTAGGTAAAGGGGATTCTTTTCCCCTGACCCCTTGCTCAAGTACTAGGTTATCCCAGTCAGTAGTTGAGTGAACTAAGGGCAATTAGAATTCTCTTGTGAGGAACAGTGAGTTTCCTTACATATTTTTGACTGTACCCACCTAGCACTGAAACCTCTTGCTGGATGCTGAGGAACCAAAGGGTCTGATCAACCCTAGGTCTCCCTCATTGTCTAGTACCCATTAGGAATTTTTCATGAGTAAAGTTACAATTTTCGAGTAGAAACAGAGACTACTTACTGGATTGGCCCCTAGTAGGTTCACAATGCTTCAGAATGCTGCAGAATGCTTCTGGAACACATTAGCACATATTGATATGGACCAGTGCTAGATATGCTGGAGGTTTGCATTGATTGGATGGGTTGAGGACCAGGCATCTGTGACAGCAAAAAGGAACAAACAGGTGTGTATTGAGTTTACAGACAATGGACAACAAGATTACCTATTGGATATTGATTACAATATGGCTGCCAAGCCTTGACAGACGATTCCTGGAGGGTACCCAAGTCCAGATATTAATACTAACATGCTAGGAAGTAAGTCCTTGTCCCTTGTAGGCTGGAGGCAACCCAATGAACCTATACCAGGTGATAAGTCCTTGTCTACACAAGGCTGGAGGCACCCTGATGAACTAGTACATACCAATAATGTAGAACTAAGGCATGTAACTGTACCAGTACATATAGTTAGACAAACACACACTGTAGAGCAGACACTAGCAAGTATTGACACTACTGGGCTCAAAGAAATAGCAAACAAAGGTACAGAGAGTGGAAATGCTCAGGTGATTGTTCTTGAGGATTCAGACAGTCGAGTTCAGGATGAACAGGCAATTGGATTCAAGGATTCGTCCAATTGAGTACAGAAGGTTGAGTTTGAGGATTCAACTCACCAAGTACAGGCAATTGAGCTTGAGGATTTGCTCTATTGATTTCAGACTACTGAGTTTGAGGATTCACTCAATAGAGGACAGGCGATTTGGTTTGAGGATTCACCAAGTCAATATAGAGAGCTAACAGTGAGCATTGAGGAATTTGTAAGCTAATACAAGAGTTACATTGTGTATATAGTCAGTATCAGTGAGAGTGTGGATAAGTATTCAGTGAGCACACTTACTTTAGAACGGAAACACATTAACAACAGTGATGTAGAGGGCAATGAGACACCTAAGACCCTTTTAGGCAGTGAAGAAAGCAGCCAGGACTCAAAGAAAAAGAGTAACAGACAAGGCTAGGAGAGCCAGGCATTGGAATTACAGAGATCTGATGAGGAACAAGATTTCCAGAAGGCAAGTAAGACCTTCAGACACATTACAAGAGCTAGAGCAATTGAGATAGACATAGGACATGTTAGCCCATTCCACAGTTTGATAAACATTGAAGATTTGAATAAGAGAACGTACAAGTTTGATGGAATGTATCAGGAAGAGGAGAAAGCAACTCCTTCATCAAACAAGAGCAGACTTGATAGTATAGTAATAGAAAAGCATGAAACGCTTCAGACAGGCTACAGAACGAAAGCCAGACATGCCATAGTACCAACAGACAATAGAGATCAGAACTATCAATCTAAGAGTGTAGAAGAAACACTCAAGAGTCCAGACAAATGATTACATTTGCAGAAAGTGAAAGGAAAGTGTAAAGTGAAAGGAAAACACAAAGTACAAGGAACAGAAC